AGAGAGAGAGAGAGGTGGAAACACCAATGTGAGAGAGACACATCGATTGGTTGCCTCCCACAAGCCCCTGACCAGGGCCGGGAGCCTACAACTGAGTACATGCCCTTGACCTGAATCGAATCGGGGACCCTTCAGTGGCCGGCGCCATAGCCACTGAGCCAAACTGGCTAGGGCGTATATTCAATATTCTTATGCCAAAGACAAAGCTTTTAAATTCACCATTAAATTTTGTAAAAGATCCTCATGACCATATAAAGTTCTGAGAGGTCCACACTGAAAACACCTGGCTTGGAGCACTTAGCACAAGAGTTCTCCGGGATAAACAGCCAAATACTACAGCCTCATTGCTCGGCTCCACATAAAAAACCACTGAACAGACTTAAAGACAAACCCAACTTTTCTTGGGGCCTTGTTTTTATTGCTTTTGTAAAATAACTCTTTTCTAGGGACAGCCCACCTTCCCCCTACCCCAAATAAAGACTTTTTCTCCACTCTTCCACATGCAGACCTCCTCACCTTATAAACCTGAGCTCCAAAACCTAAAATGCAATCTCTAACAGGGCAGTGATCTTTGTTTCTGTTACAGGAGCATCCCAAGCAACTAGAACACCGTCTGACACAAACTAGGCCCTCAATAAATATTTGTTCAAAACCTGATTGAGTAAGTGGATGAAGCTTACACAGTATGGCTGGTGAGTGGTATCAGCTAGTGCTGCTTCTACTCTAATGGGGAAACAGCAGACAAGAGATTGAACTGTATTTGCTTCTACTTCCAACAGACTCATGTTCAACTTTTACACACACACACACACACACACACACACACACACACAAGCTGGGAAAATTTTATTACCCCTTTCAAAAAAACACACGTTTATATAAAATGAATGAGTAGGTGTAAACCTCCTCTATGAAGCACTCCTTAGTCCCCTTGCAAATACTCAAAAACCCACCTGTGTGTTCCCATCGGGGAACTAAATGTTGAAACCTGCGAAACAACCCTTGCGCGACCAACCAGAATTCCAACATTCTGGAAGCCATAACTTTAGTGAAAAGCCACAGCAAAACCAAATTCCTATCCCCTGGTTCGGATGCAGAGTGGTCCAACGTACAAGGACACAATCCCTAAATGTACACAACTAAACTACATACATGTGTGTCTCCGGAGCACGCAATCCCTTCGACTGCAGGGCTTCTCCAACCTCGAAGCACAGACCACACCAACACTCCCGCCCCATTAAATCAGGGTGGGTGGGAGGCAGGCCCCAGCGTTTGAAAGCTTTCCAAGTAGTTCCAAGTGCCGCCAAGTTTGAAAGCCACCTCTCCAGGCCACCTCCCCGGACAACTGCTTGCTTGCTCGCTCGTCTGTGTTTGCACGAAGAAGACCTCTGGGAAGAACCCAGAGATCTTAAAGGACATGCTCTTTTTTAGTCTCCTTCCACCCAAACCCCCTCCCCAACATCGCGAGCCACGTGGAAGGGGCCTCCCCGGTGTCTGTCGAGGCGTCGCGGCCACCTACCTACCTTAAGGCTACAGGTTTCCTCCTCTGGAGAAGCCATTTCCTCTAGAGAGGGGCTGGCAGGGCGCGGAGGGGAGCCCCCCGGCGGAAGGAAGGCCCGCGTGCTCCGAATCAGGCAGCCTTTGGCGGCAGCCCCGTCCACACCTGGGCCGGAGGACCGGGAGGAGGCAGAGGAGGAGGAGGAGTCTCGGCGGCGGGTGGCGTCCCAGGACACCTCGGGCGGGCAGGCCACATCGTCGTCT